AAACATTTACTCGGAAGGGCTGTCTCTGACAAAGAGCCTAGTTTTTTAAAGGTGAGAGAATGTAATAATTCTTTTGAAGAAATACCAACAATGATCAGTTATTCACTTAAAGTGCCTGGGGCAGGGCTGACATTCGGCAAGTGTAAATAATAACAATAAGGAGTGTTTGTTTATCTCAGACTAAAAGGGCACTGGATAGGCAACACATCAAAACCAACATCCCGTATGTAACATTCATCGGTGTGATTTAAACATAGCCGGTCGCATAGAAAGGTGTCTTTGATTATCTGTATCTCCATTTCGTCCACGTCTGGACTAATTCCATAGTTTTCAGAGCAGTGGCTTTCAATAGAGTGCAGGCCTTTTAAAAAATCAATTTGAAAATAGTCTGAAGATGTTACACTTTTAGCACCTTTCTAAAATTCTGACCTCATCGAAGGAACCAAAATGATGAATATTTGAACACATTTATTAAACTCAATTCTCCAGAAATGGACCCACTGCAAATATCTAGCCTTTCTACTTTTTTCACCCAATTTCCCAATTTTATGTGGCTGGAAGTGTAAGCTCTCTGTGAGTACTCTCATTTTGTTCCCTGGATTTGAAATCATTCCCAAACTGCTTTTTCAAATATTCATTACTAAAACCTTAAGAGGCCATAAGTGGACGCGGCACTCTCAGGGCCAGTTACCTGTGAAATTCTAGTCTCTCATATCAACAGAGAAAATTTCCTCTTAACTGTAAATTCACTGATTTTCTGTAAAACATCTATTTTTAGTACAAGATAGCCATGCTCACAGGCAAAGTCTCAGTCTTTCTTTAGCATTTTCTTTTTTGATCAGCAATGCCTATGAGTCTTAGGTATGCTGGGTCATGTCACAGTATTTTGAATTCAAACATGGATCTGAAGCTACTACAAAAAAAAATTTAAAAAGAACATCTTCTGGGTTTAACTAGGATTTTGAAATTTATTGTTCAAAGGGAGATGAATGCTTCTCTAGTTTTAGTTACTATTGGTTATAATTGGAAGTAACTGCTATGAAAAGTGATACCTACTACGTACAGTAATGTAATGGTCAGCACAGGTGGAAATCAATAAATCATAAGTTTGAAGTAAGACAAATTAAGGACAGAATTTGGAGTTAAAAAAACAAAAATGTGTATGTATCTAGGAAGTCAACCGGCCAACCAAAACACACCTTTAGATTTTGGAGGGCATGACAGGACTTTATATCCCAAGACTACAGTACTGTGTACGCTCAAGTCAAGGGATGGATTTTCTTTACTCTCTTCTTTTCACATGATTTTTTGTCTTAAATTAGAAAAATCAATGGATTTAGTGAGGGCAAGTGCAGCCTAGGATTCAAGGGGCATTTTAGGAGACAGGGAACCAGAGGCACATTAGATACTAATTTATCACTTGAAAGTGATAAATTACTTAGGACATAAAGTGGCACCTGGTACATTATCTGCCCTCCACACGCTCCACAGTTTCAGGAAACTGTCCCCTTCTGCAGCACTGGGAATACTGTCCTGTCTATTTAGCCTAGTCTTTTGGGAAGAATCTTTGCTTTCATGGAGATGAGACATAATGCTGATTTCAACATGGTGACAGTTGTACAATGCATGGAGCATGTGTGTAAAAAAGCATAAGCATACCTGTTTTAAGATCCCGGATAGGGGCTCGGCGCCTATAGCTCAACCGGCTAAGGCGCCAGCCACCTACACCTAAGGTGGCGGGTTCGAATCCCCAGCCCGGACCCGCCAAACAACGAGGGCTGCAACCAAAAAATAGCAGGGCGTTGTGGCGGGCACCTGTGGTCCCAGCTACTTGGGAGGCGGAGGCAGGAGACTCGCTTGAGCCCAGGAGTTGGAGGTTGCTGTGAGCTGTAATGCCATGGCACTCTACCCAGGGGGACAGCTTGAGGCTCTGTCTCAAAAAAAAAAAAAAAAATCCTGGATAGGGTGGGGTCAGTTTTTACTTAACAGCCATTTTTTTTTTAAAGAGAAGATCTCACTCTTTTGGCCATGCTAGAGAACAGTAGTGTCATGATAGATCACTATAACCTCAAACTCCCGGGCTTAACTGATCCTCCTGTCTCAGCCTCCCCAGTTACAGACCTACATCATCACACCCAGCTAACTTTTCTCATGTTTTGTGGAAATGAGATCTCACTGCTGCTCAGGCTAGTCTCTTAACTCCTGGCCTCAAGCTATGCTCTCCCTCTCGCTCTCCCAGAGTGCTAGGACTATAGACATGAGGCAGGCATGAGACTTACCATGCCTGGCAAGAGAACCCTATTTCTAACTGAGCAAACCTGGAGCTTCTGTGAGCAAATGAATTGCAGATCCACTCAATAATTTCTTCTATTCAGCAAGCACTTAACGGTTTTCAGTCCCTGCCACCATTTTAAATAGGTTATTATTCCTCATCCTATGAGATACATACGAGGGAGGAAACATTAGCCTTTAAGAGCCCATGCTCTGAAATCAATTACGTGTTGAGTGCCAGCCTCACCACTTGCTTACTAAATAACATAAGACAAGACATAAATACCTCTGAATCTCAACAGCCTCACCTGTAAATTGGGAAAAAATGAGATAACACACGGAAAGCCTCTTAGCAGCGTGCGCTGGGCTTACTGAGCACTCAACATTTTTGCTCTTGTTGATATCCTCGGTGTGTAAATGAGGAAACAGAGGCTTGGAGAAGCTACAAAACATGTCTGAGAGATCACATAGGGAGTAGCGAAAATAGGTTTGAACTAATGTCTGTGCGGCTCCCAAATTTATCTTCTCAACTACTATACCAGACCTCTGTCTAATACAAATTATTGCTTTATACACTGACATAATTACCACCTCAGAGAAATCCCTACTTTAGGAAGGAACAAGAAAAAGAGTGACCTTTCCATTTCAATGCAATTGTTTTCTCAGAATAATCATCTTGCAATGCCTTGGGAATTGAGATTTCTATATTTTTTAGGCTGTTAAAGTATTTCACATGGCTCAAGAAAGGTCGAACAACTTGCCTCTAGTTCCCTGTCTCCTAAAATGCTCTTTAAAAGTCCTTGGCTGGGGGCCGCTTGCTAAGGGGCCTAGATCGGAGTCTGAACACATTACCTTGGATTGTCTTAGCTTCCAATTGGGTCTTAAGCACTCCCGTTTCAGTTTTTACTCACTATGTGGAGAATTCCTACCAATCCTGGCTGCAATTTCACACCTGTCAGTCCAATGTGACAAAACAGTAGACCATGTCAGGCCCTCAACAACAAACATGTTGTTTGTTGCCTTTAAGTTTCCCAAGAGTTGCTTTTTAAATGTCAGATTTACCATTCCCTTGAATTTCTAGTAGCTATTCCCTCCACCCCGCTCCCCAACATCAGCAGAACATCTGTGGCAAAACAAAACAAAAACCAATCTTGAGAAATTATGATTTTCCTTACTAGATAAATATTTTTTTCCTCCTTTACCCAGGGATGGGACAACAGATAATCTCCCTGATTCGTGAGGAAGAAGGGAAATTTCCTTTGATGACTCAGATTTAAACAGCCCTGTACATACTTGGTTTTATTTGGAGATCAGTATTTAATTTAGAAATGCCTTGGGAGCTGAGATTTCTGATATCTTTTAGGCTAACAAAGTAAGGATCTCATATGGCTTAAGAAAGGCCCGGTTACCCTATCTCTTTTCAGTTCATCTGGTGCATGAAAATCTGTTGCATTTGCATTAAAAGCTAAAAAGTTTCCTGGCTGCAGAAGGCTGGCAGGTATAGGGGAACATCAGCTGTCTAAACCTTTACAATACTCAAGTGCAATTTGAGGAGGACAAAAAAGTAGCGAGATGAGTCTTTCCTTTTATGGGAGTAGGAAGGCTTAGGTTCTAACTTGGCAGAGCAGATTCATTTTGAAAAAGAAGGCTCCCTCCGTTTAAATCCCAATTTCTAAATCTCTCTTGGGAAATGAAGGCTGTCCCTGTGTGCCTTTCACAATCAAACTGTTGGCTATAGCCTCTCCCCTCTATGGCTTTGAAATCCTCTCCTATTCACATGGTCACAAGGAGACAGCCCTGGGGCGAGGATGGCAATTACTTCCTGGGCTCTGAGCTGGCTGGATTCCACTGGGGCG